TGTCGATCAATTAACACGAAGTTCCTTTGTGTACCCGATCACCGTCACTGACGAGCGTTGTTGTACATTACACGCAGTTACTTGTGTCATCAGAACAATTACCTTTAATTTACAGTTTGCTTGAGAGCTATTTCTTGAAAGTTGTTAAATATTTAATTTTGACCAAAACAAACAAACTGAAGGATAAGAGAGTACTGAAAAGAAGTTAGTGATGTAAACTTACAGGTATATCCCACTGAAATATAATAAATGTTCAATTCTGACGTGCACCATCTTAAATATGTGTTGTTGTCCAGTTTATTATTCATTTTGTTGGACGCAGATTAATAATTTTGGGTGGGTTAAGTAGAGAGGTTTTTGCCATAAACGCATTTTTTTGAAAATCGCAAAAATAGTGGCTATTATATTTCTATTAGTTTGTGGCTTCATATTTGGAAATAGATATCGCTGTCACGTGGCTTGAACTTCAAATGATTCTACCAGCAAGGAATTGCAATATTCAGAAGAGCTATATAAAAAATGCTGTAGAGAGTTCCTCCTATAATTTCAGCTAAATATGGTTTTATTTGAAAAATCACCTTTAAGTTCACTGATACGGCAATTGTCTTGGAAATATCAAGAAGATACAAAACACACTGACAAAGCATTGTCAATGGGGACCGATATGTACGGTAAAACTTCACTAGATATTATTAAAAAAATGAATTTCGGGTTTTTTCGTGTCAATAACTAGCAATTTCAAAATATGAACTCTCGAATTTTCGACTTTACTCGAAATTTCGAAATCGCGTTATTTATACGATGGCCCTAATGCTCTTTCATAAATGTTACTGTTTTAGGCTATACAATATGTGTTATTTAACCATATGGTCCACATAATATATATAATGATCATCTGTACATGTACAAAATGTTAAAAACATCAATTAATTTAGATGAGCGAGATGCTACAGTTGTGTCACTCTGTCTAAATAAGCTTGAACACCATTCATGTCACCTGTTTCTCATGGCTAATTATTGAAATGAAGCAATTTCTGTTCATGTATGTCCATATTAGGATGGTTGCATATGGACAAATGTAGGCGTTAAGCCTGATGTCCAACATTTTGACATACAATGTATCAGCATTCTATTGTCAATAAAATTTGTTGAAATAGGATAACATTTCTTATAACACAAACCAAAGTTTTAAATACTACCAACAAGATTCCCGCTCGGGTATCACATGCCTTCACATCATACCTCCGGGCTGCGTTTGTCTAGTACAGATCATTACACGCTATCTCGTCACTTGGGTGGTCGGGTGTTGCAGTGGATAGCGCATTTGCCTTTCACCAAGGCGGCCGGGGTTCGAATCCCCGATCGGACGTGAAAAGGTTGGGGTCACCCGCCCTACCACGTGGGGTTTCTCCGGGTACTCCGGTTTCCTCCCACAATAAGACCCCCACGCGCTAACAACCGGGCCAACAAGAGTGATTGATATAAGTTGAAATAACTTGTTTCATAATTGTTGTAAAATAAATAAAGTTTATATCTATATATTTATATTTATCTCGTCACCTAACATTCTTACAGCTGTTTGATGATGTCACGGGATTACGTAGGATGTGTTAAACCTGAGTTAGAAAATATAGGAGACTCTAACATCGTATAGAGGACAGACAACAAATACCGACTAAGTACCTATGTCTTCTTCACGTTCAGTTGAACTCCGTAAGCTATTAACTTAAAGGATTCATCGTATAGAGGACAGACAGCAAATACCAACTAAGTACCTCTGTCTCCCTGAGCTAGAAGATATAGGAGACTCTAACATCGTATAGAGGGCAGAAAACAAATACCAACTAAGTACCTCTGTTTCCCTGAGTTAGAAGATATAGGAGACTCTAACATCGTATAGAGGACACACAACAAATAACAACTAAGTACCTCTGTCTTCCTGAGTAAGAAGATATAGGAGACGCTAACATCGTATAGAGGGCAGACAACAAATACCAACTAAGTACCTCTGTGTCCCTGAGTTAGAAGATATAGGAGACTCTAACATCGTATAGATGACAGACAACAAATACCAACTAAGTACCTCTGACTCCCTGAGTTAGAAGATATAGGAGACTCTAACATCGTATAGATGACAGACAACAAATACCAACTAAGTACCTCTTTCTTCCTGAGTTAGAAGATATAGGAGACGCTAACATCGTATAAAGGACAGACAACAAATACCAACTAAGTACCTATGTCTTCTTCACGTTTAGTTGAACTCCGTAAGCTATTAACTTAAAGGATTCATCGTATAGAGGACAGACAGCAAATACCAACTAAGTACCTCTGTCTCCCTGAGTTAGAAGATGTAGGAGACTCTAACATCGTATAGAGGACAGAAAACAAATATCAACTAAGTACCTCTGTCTCCCTGAGTTAGAAGGTATAGGAGACTCTAACATCGTATAGAGGACAGAAAACAAATATCAACTAAGTACCTCTGTCTCCCTGAGTTAGAAGATACAGGAGACTCTAACATCGTATAGAGGACAGACAGCAAATCCCAACTAAGTACCTCTGTCTCCCTGAGTTAGGATATATAGGAGGCGCTAACATCGTATAAAGGACAGACAACAAATACCAACTAAGTACCTCCGTCTCCCTGAGTTAGAAGATATAGGAGACTCTAACATCGTATAGAGGACAGAAAACAAATATCAACTAAGTACCTCTGTCTCCCTGAGTTAGAAGACATAGGAGACTCTAACATCGTATAGAGGACAGAAAACAAATACCAACTAAGTACCTCTGTTTCCCTGAGTTAGAAGATATAGGAGACGCTAACATCGTATAAAGGACAGACAACAAATACCAACTAAGTACCTATGTCTGCTTCACGTTCAGTTGAACTCCGTAAGCTATTAACTTAAAGGATTCATCGTATAGAGGACAGACAGCAAATACCAACTAAGTACCTCTGTCTCCCTGAGATAGAAGATATAGGAGACGCTAACATCGTATAAAGGACAGACAACAAATACCAACTAAGTACCTCTTTCTTCCTGAGTTAGAAGATATAGGAGACGCTAACATTGTATAGAGGACAGACAACAAATAACAACTAAGTACCTCTGTCTTCCTGAGTAAGAAGATATAGGAGACGCTAACATCGTATAGAGGGCAGACAACAAATACCAACTAAGTACCTCTGTCTACCTGAGTTAGAAGATATAGGAGACGCTAACATTGTATAGAGGACAGACAACAAATAACAACTAAGTACCTCTGTCTTCCTGAGTAAGAAGATATAGGAGACGCTAACATCGTATAGAGGACACACAACAAATAACAACTAAGTACCTCTGTCTTCCTGAGTTAGAAGATATAGGAGACGCTAACATTGTATAGAGGACAGACAACAAATAACAACTAAGTACCTCTGTCTCCCTGAGTTAGAAGGTATAGGAGACTCTAACATCGTATAGAGGACAGACAACAAATACCAACTAAGTACCTATGTCTTCTTCACGTTCAGTTGAACTCCGTAAGCTATTAACTTAAAGGATTAAATAAAAAAAAGAGGTGTAACATCATGCTAAACATATTACTTCTTCTCCAGATGCTGCAATGTATGATTGCAACCTAAATCCTCATTGCAAGAGGCCGACAACTGAATTGTACGTGTTCCTGTGATATTTTACCAATCCTTTATTTTCAACATTGTTCTATTTTGCATTGGACGTGTACGCAGAAAACATTATGCGGACCTCGGTGAGAATTTACATGCGTTGGGAGTATAGGGGGAAGTTTCCACAGATGATTTGCATTCCAAATGCAATGCATGAATTGTGCTATTGATTGAAATTATTACGTAATGCAGTATGATTGCTCGAGTCATTTAAAAGAAGCGCGAATGTAAAAGGACAGTAGAACCAAGGGTTCAATGATCAATGACGCGGAAGAGTCAGCACGTTATCTCTATCCGGAATCTCGGTGTTCTAAAATAGCCCTCCAGTAACACACTGCCAAACACGTGAGAATATATAAATCAGAACACATCAACAGAAACGGTCTGTTAACATCATCATCAAATCTGGCGCATGGCACATTTGCTTGTTTTTTCTTTCATATAGACTTAATTAATAACATATAGTTGTAACAAAATACTCCCCAGTTTCTTGTGGGAATTATGTGGAATTTAGTGATGTGTTTTGTTTGTCTGATCTATGTGTGACGCCGTATCGATCACTTTACATTATTGATACGTTAGATCGATACTTACCAAATCCATTAATGGATCGAGTCTGACACTTCAATCAAGACGTGAGCCGACAATGTGTTAGTGCTAGAGTCGGCTTAGACTATAACTATAGCTGTGAACCTCATTCTCAAATACAACAATGAAGTCAGCATTCTAGTAACACAGATCGTTCATATCCTGAGGTCTTACTTTCATTCTTTGTTTCAAGTTCTGATATATAACTGACACGTCACCAAGCGTTTACCAGATGATTTGCTGAGCCTTCGTTATTGATCAGGCATGTTTTAAATTACTGGTACATTGATAAGGCTTTTAAAACAGTCGTTGGGTTGCTTTTGCGTTATTGTAAATAAGCGTCGACATAAAAAGCTACTTTCGTTTCTAACAGAACCAGCTGGAGTCTATTGTATAATGCTGATACATGTATCACATAACCACACAATGTTACGTTACGGATTTCACCTTAAATGTATCACTGATATGCTACCGTTTCTCTCTAAAATATAATGTAAAATATATAAGCAAACACTATTCCTCGAACAAACCGTTGCATACTCTACGGTCAGTACAGTTCATACCTATTATTTGTATTTAGAAAATGCAGACCGATATCTACAAACTATAGTTTCTAAATTTTGAGTTTATATAAGTCTATAACATTTTTCATTTTGTTCCAGCAAACATTTTTAAAGCTCTGGTGAAATTTATATTATTCACAATATTATATTACAGACGCAATTTTTGTGTTTCCTAGGTGATCACACTGTCTTGGTGGTCCCTGTGTCGAGATTCGGTCTATTACTCGTTCGCCGTCGTCATCCTCATATTGGTAAGTACTACCGCAGTTTATCATAGCCAAGGCTATTCTCTCCCTCCTCTTTGTGCTGAAAGTAATTCTGTGAATAGATATGTGTTAACTGTTATGATTCCAAAACACCAGACTATATATTGATGATTTTATTACGAAGCTTATGCTGCATCTAATGACATGTTTGTGTCTAATTTTATGTGCAATATGGTGTCCATATTAAATGGCTATACTTCAGGTATTTCCAATCGGATATTAATTGCTGGTAAGAGCAATAAATTCCTATACATTTATGCTCACAAGAAGAACTTTAAGCAAAGGGTATTGATAACTACCTTATTTATAATAGTATCATATATCGTATCTTCACGAAAAATAGTCGATAGCAATGTCAAAGCATTTTTTACTTAATTAAAATCTCGGAAAATTCATTATGATTCTGGTCCCGTTATATGTTTACAATACTAAGTTCTTGTTTACGAAGTGAACTAGAAAAACAATTACGGATCATTAATTCACAAAGATAACATCGCCACTCTAAATTGATTGCAAAAAATGATCAAAATCGTAAACAGATCAGGGAAAGATCCCATCTTACTGTTGATACAATAGTGCTCAACGTGATAGTACACAAGGACCAGATCGTAAACAGATCAGGGAAAGGTCCTATATTACTGTTGATACAATAGTGCTCAACTTGATATTACACAGGGACCAGATCGTAAACATATCGGGAAAAGGTCCCATCTTACTGTTGATACAATAGTGCTGAACGTGATATTAGTCAAGGACCAGATCGGAAACATATCGGGGAAAGGTCCCATCTTACTGTTGATACAATAGCGCTCAACGTGATATTAGTCAAGGACCAGATCGGAAACATATCGGGGAAAGGTCCCATCTTACTGTTGATACAATAGCGCTCAACGTGATATTAGTCAAGGACCAGATCGTAAACAGATCAGGGAAAGGTCCCATCTTACCGTTGATACAATAGTGATCAACGTGATATTACACAAGGACCAGATCGTAAACAGATCAGGGAAAGGTCCTATATTACTGTTGATACAATAGTGCTCAACGTAATATTACACAAGGACTAGATCGTAAACATATCGGGGAAAGGTACCATCTTACCGTTGATACAATAGTGCTCAACTTGATATTACACAAGGACCAGATCGTAAACATTTCAGGGAAATATCCCATCTTACTGTTGATACAATAGTGCTCAACGTGATATTAGTCAAGGACCAGATCGTAAACATATCGGGGAAAGGTCCCATCTTACTGTTGATACAATAGTGCTCAACTTGATATTACACAAAGACCAGATCGTAAACATATCAGGGAAATATCCCATCTTACTGTTGATACAATAGTGCTCAACGTGATAGTACACAAGGACCAGATCTGAACTGAAAGGCGATGACAAAAGGTAACAACAAAAACTTCAGAGACACTAAAAAAAAAAGAAGAACAACATGAACAATCCGACTGTCTCGTATAGCTTTAGTTATATAACAATATCTATGTAATGTTCGTTTTAGGCATTGACGATTTAATGAGTTGTACATAACATAGTTTACCATCATATTGATTTACACAGAGGCTGGCATTGGCTGCTGTGTTACGGTTTTGGTACGTAACATCTCTTTTCAGTTTGGCCGAAGAAGACTTTCAACATCACACAATGGACCACTTCTAAACGATCTGTTTTGTATTACTGCAAAGCTGAACGAATACAAAATATATAAGAAAAAAATAAATAATATATGCCCAGTCCTTTAACATTACTTAATAGATATTGGAGAATATTTACGCTCGCCCGACGTGATCCTACTTCCAGTTTTGAGAGTCCATTGTCTTTTTTAATTGAAGTGTTTTTCACTGTAACTTATATCCTATATATAATTATGTATCCTTGATCTGACATATAATGACAGATCCACAATGATGCTCGTGGTTTGGCTCCCCCGGGGTTTTAAATGTGATTCATCGTTACCTATTGATATTTTCATTTCTAACTACTGTATGTTACATATGATGAATAAAAAAGATTTTTTTAGATTAAAACGTCTTTTATCTCTAATGTAACTCTGAACAGTCTCCGCCATAGTGATATTAATATGGTCGCTTCGTGTTTGGAGCCCGTAAAGAAATGTTTGAGTATTAAGTGGAATATTGCCCATCAGTGCAGAGAGGGAGTAAATGAAGCGCTGTCTTAGGCTATTGCAAAGTTAACAGGAGAACCACTCATACATGTATATACAGGCAATGCTATCAATGAGATGGGAACTAAAAAGGACCTGAGTTCGAATGACCATAGTTGTCTGCTGGAATCGTTCGGATCTTGACCTTGTGTATCGAAATTGTGGTATTTTTCCACAGATTTCATACATCAGTTAAATACTTGTATGAAATTCTTCATTAAAGTATAGTTTAAAAGGCGATGATGTACATTGTTAAGATACGCCTGAAACGTTTTTTGACTCGTATATCTCGGGAACAATTTGTAAATGGGTTGAGATTTGTTTTTGGTCTTTTTTCTGGGTGGGGGGGGGGGGGGGGGTTTTTTTTTTTTTTTTGTTCTTTTTTCCCCCTTTTGATTTGATATAAAACTTGTATAAAAACAAAAGAGAAAATGTGAAAGAAATAATCGATAATCTTGAAAATAGGATGCCTCATAAAACTAAAACATATATATCATTATAAAAATATTCAAGACAATTTTCTTTAACCAAGCTTGATTGCTTAGTAAATGTCTTGGCGCAGAGTTATGTGATTGAAATGAAACGCGTTCGTTTTTGTTGTAATTGGCGTTTTTATTACATAGAATTGAAATGTATGGAACAACGCAGTCGAAAATCGCAGCGTTGCCTAAGGACATTCTACACACATACAAATTAGTGAACAAATGATTAAAAAGATCAAATTAGATTTGAATTACACGTAAATTGATTGAAATAATAATAAATTTGCATGACACACTAGTACCTAAGGTGCATTAGAATAATTCAAAGAACGACTGTCATTTTAACACTGTAATTTCAGCCCATGTTGATTAGCGATACCTGACTACGCAAAAACTGACGATAGTTACGTTCTTCAGTCCCCTATAAAACTTGTACCGATAGATTTTCTATCAGAACAGACCATGAAGTATGTCTATTAGAGGACTTCACAACATTGCCGTTGAGCATTGTCACTGAGATGACACAAAAGACTGCCTAGTCAGAAAGGTCATGTAGAGGTACTGTTACAAAAGGACACAACCATGGTGAACTTCTTCACGAAGGGAATAAGCTGTCTGACTCAAACCATCAATTCGCATTTTGTGGAATCAATCAACTATATAGGTTTCTTCTTATTCACAAAATAACTTCTTAGTACGTAGAAGGTGGGAGGTAGGTCGTAACTCTCAATATCTATGTGGGCGACTAAATCGGGAATTTATATTAAAAAACGAAGCCCCCTCAGATAACTTCACAGATTCCCTGGACACTTGAACACCAAGGCGTTCCACTTACATCTTGTGGGTATTCCTTGTTGGTCGGTGTTGCTGAACAATAAGTCCCCGATGGTACCTTAAACCTGAAAGTCGATTCATTGACATAATTCGTAGACATTCTGTCTTATTAGAAGTGACGATTTTTTAAGATCGTATGTATTTGGACTTTACTCTTAGAGTGTGACAAAATGTAAACGTCACTATCGATTATCTATTTTACAGGTGGTGTGCGACGGAGTTGTCACGTGGTACGAGTCGCTCATTATGCTGGTGCTTTACGTGCTGTACATCGTGATCATGCGGTAATTTCTCAATACTAGCACACGACATTATACAACAGAAAGAGAGAACGAACGGCAATCAAGTAGGAGATCCAGATTCAAGCCAATATGTTTCAACGAGGTTCTCGTATGAAACATTATTAACAAAATGTATCAGTTAAATTAATACTTTTAACATAAGTTTCATAGCATTAGAATATTCTGTACTTATTCCGAATTAAGATAAACATGTTCCGGTATTAGATTGTTCCATAACATAACTAACTTTTGCATGACCTTGTAAAAACACACTTAACCCCTGACCCTACACTATATACGTAATTGAGTATAGACTGGAGCAGCAGTAAAACAGCACTTTTTCTATGTATGTCATGTTTCAGATTTAATGTCCATATTCAAGCCTGGGTCTCAAAGAAGTTGGATCGAATTGTCCAATCAAATATTCTTCCAATGAATGGCACTGCCAAGACCTTTCAGGGGGACTACGGTAAGACGAATACGTTCATAGAACTACGGTAGAGTCGGTACTTTAAAGGGGTTACGTTACGGTGGGTACATTATTGGAAATGCGTCTAATTGGATACTTTCAGGAGTATACAGTAAAGTGAATCCTTTAGGAAAGGTTATGGTGAAGTTGAAACATCCAGAGGAATGACGGTAAAGAGCATATGTTAGGAGAATACTGTAAAATTGATATTTTCAGTGAAATTTAAGTGCTGCGGATTTTTTATTGTATAATGGATGCATCTCGGTGTGGTATTTAATCGATACTACATAAAGTGTATTGGCAGTAGGATACGTAAAGACATATTTAGAAGTAGCCGACAGGCTGTAAGACATATCTTTGAGTAGCCTATAGGACATTAGGCTGAGTGACATATTCAGGCAGATTTTAATGAACGTTAGACTGAAAAACAGGTTGAGGCATATCTTCAATAGGATTCATCAGTTTGGAAATATGTGATATCAAAGTTTACTTTCTACACACACAATGTACGTATTAAATGTGTACGTTTGAATACGTCCATTGTGTTGTGTAGAAAGTAGCACTTTTATTTCAGATTGAGGAATACTCTTTAAGGAGTTAAAATATAGAGCCAAATTGATCGGTAGCTTATAAGACGTTAGACAAAGAGACAGATTAAGGAGTAACCAACAAGGTGTTAATATATAGAAACATGATAAGGAGTTCCTCCACTGAATATATACAGAAACATTTATATAGATGATATAGGACGTTAATACATAGGGACATATTTATAGACAGATTTAGAGGTATTAATATCCCATTAGAGATAGCTAAATGACTATGATCAGATCCTGATATTGAATTGATACATATAGACTTCTATATTAAGTCTCTGTGAGAAATTGATATATAGAGACATGCCTCCCGATAAGAAGTTAATACTGATCAAGTCGTTGTCTTTGTTGACCGACAATCGATAGGAGTTTGCCCACGTCCAAGTGATACAGGCCGAGTGTTTTGTATAAACGGCTGCACAGATTTGTGTTATTGATTTGTACGTACAATCATACATGACCGAGTTCATCAACTAAAAGGTCTGTGACGATTGGTAAAAATGGTATGTCAGCAGGGGAGGTGCTTATAATAACAGTCGGTATAGTAAATTATATTATATGGCACGGCAGTCATCATGTTTCCAATGAATAATGATAAATTTCTCACCAACTACTTAATTTTATTTCCTGTCTCCCTTTGGGACTAGTCCGCCGTATCTAATAACTGGAATCCACGCGTCGATGTCTTGGACACTCGACTTAATCACATCCTTTTCATATTTTGGAGGTCTCTAGAGCGACAAAGATTATATTTATAAAAACATTTCGAAGAAATATTCATTACGGGAAAGATAAATGCGTAGGCGAGACTTGTTTACGCTCGTTTAAATTACTATACAATTCAATTTCCATCTCTTTTAAATTGCCGATAAATTGAGAATATGCTAAATGTACAACTTGATGTACCAAACATTCAGTCATTTCCACAGTTATAGGATAAACAGTAACCCATGTAAATGCTTTTATATGTCAAATCTACAGCTGATTTTTTTTTGTTATCCTGCAAATAATACACTAGAGGTATACACATACGTTTATATTACTTATAATACAATAGAGAAATAACAATGGTTTTATATTGCTTACAGTACAATACAATATATACCATATATATATATAAATAATTTCATATATAATTATTTATCTGTTTCTTATAATATAGTACTAATAATGCAATATAAAAAGTAGTTTTAAACATTAGTTATTAAATCGATATAGAATGGAGTTTAATATCACTAAATATACAACAAAAATGAATATATTTTATTTACGTATACATTGAATATCATTATTAGTATACGTTTAAGCATTGTTAAAATCTGAAATGTATACAATCAGATAATCGGTTTCTCATCAAACTTGCCTTGTTGTGAAACTATTGTAATTGGACATAAAACATCGCAGAACAGATAGTTGCCATTTAAGCCACGCCCCTTTGTTGTTCACAGAGGTGTTTACCGATGATGACGACGATGTGTTTATGAAGACGTCAGAAAATCAGGTGTCGCGACGAGAGACGGATATGCCACCAGATGAATACGCGAAAAGTACGCAAATCAAGTAAGATTTTGATAAGCAACCTATGATATTACAAAATATATGAGTAATCGTACAGATTTGTATAACCACCTGTTATAAATATGGTCTACATTTGTAGTTTATGATGTATTCTTGAATGTCTTTACACAAAAACACCAGTGTAAGCTACTAATTAGGTATTAAAGACTAGCTGAGCGTACTCCTTTCATAGTTTGTCATCTTGGGAATTGTATATTGATAATTTGTTTATTACCTAACCGAAGTATTTTAAAACCGATACTCTGCAACATAACGTCCCCCAGTAAGTGAAAAGATATTTTCATACTGGTAATTTCTAGTGTTTTAAACCATTCATGTAGATGTTGACAAACTGATTCCATCATATGTCTTTCGGGGTTTAGACTGAAATACTTATAATGTAATCCCGTGCAGGAGATGGTGTGTTGATATGTTGAATTCATAGTGTAAGTCGATATGTTAATGACAGAATGAATTTGGTGTGTACACTATGAATGGTGTGTTGATACGTTGAATTCATAGTGTAAGTCGATATGTTGCTGACAGAATGAATTTGGTGTGTACACTATGAATGGTGTGTTGGTACGTTGAATTCATAGTGTAAGTAGATATGTTGCTGACTAATGAATTTGGTGTGTACACTATGAATGGTGTGTTGATACGTTGAATTCATAGTGTAAGTCGATATGTTGCTGACTAATGAATTTGGTGTGTACACTATGAATGGTGTGTTGATACGCTGAATTCACAGTGTAAGTAGATATGTTGCTGACAGAATGAATTTGGTGTGTACACTATGAATGGTGTTTTGATACGTTGAATTCATAGTGTAAGTCGATATGTTGCTGACTAATGAATTTGGTGTGTACACTATGAATTGTGTGTTGTTACGTTGAATTCATAGCGTAAGTCGATATGTTGCTGACAGAATGAATTTGGTGTGTACACTATGAATGGTGTGTTGGTACGTTGAATTCATAGTGTAAGTAGATATGTTGCTGACTAATGAATTTGGTGTGTACACTATGAATGGTGTGTTGATACGTTGAACTCACAGTGTAAGTCGATATGTTGCTGACAGAATGAATTTGGTGTGAACACTTTGCATTGATGGCATGCTTATCTGATGTTAACATTGTTTGTTGATGGTTTACTTTCATGCTTATTGTCTTGTGTCTTTTCTACATGGTTGCTGATATGAGTATTTATTTGAATGTCAAATGTTTATTTTGTTGCGTGGGTGTTAACATATTTTATTTCATCATCGACAGACATATATATTTCTTGATGTGAGTATCAACATAGTTTTTTGTTATTTGTTACATGAGTATTTTGGTAAGTGAGTATCAACACTTTTTTTTGTTATATGTTCCATGTTTATTTCATTATTTGAGTGTCACCAGGTTTATTATTGTTAAATTGAATATATCGTTTTGTTACAGACCGGGGTTCATCGACTTTATCTGGCGGCTGATGATGATGAAGAGATTTAAACCCAAGACGAGGTTCATGGCCGCGGCATACTTAATTCTTTCTTATGTGAGCAGGTTATTAAAACAAAATTGTTTTGTATTGTTCGTGTTTTGTTAAAAAGGTTTCTCAATATTGCGTTCATGACTTGTATATCCGGGCCAACAAGAGTGATTAGTATAAGTTGAAATAACTTGTTTCATAATTGTTGTTAAATAAATTTTAAAAAAAAATAAAAAAAAATTGTGCATGTCTTTAGAATTACTTTTCTTGCTTTATAAACAAAAAACAAATTGAAATAATTATCACTGTTTATAAAATTTATTTTTTATAATCTACTTTGTAATCTGAGTTCAAAACATTAAAGACTTAATGACAATATGTAAACACAATCATATAAAGTTTGATGATGAAACCTTTAGTTTTTTGTGTTTATCTCCGTCGTGGATCAGTAAGTGTGCTATAACCTGTCTGAGATATGATTTAGTAAATAGTGAGCTTTAGCCATATAACCGTCCTGATCACCCAATAGTCGCACGGCATCATAAAGTAGAGACTATTTCTTAACAAATATACACTAAGAGAGATCGAATCATTCAATTGCCCTATAAACCACGTTCCTGTGTGTAATTTCACAAATTACCGGCACTGACTACACCTTTACATCTCGTTTCGCAGAAATAGACTTTGGAATATAAACAAAATCAATTCATATACATATGCCTGCTGTATATATTAGTACGTTAACGCGATGTTAACCTTGTCTGAAAGTTTTCTTGCTCTATTATCAGAGACGGCGTATGTTACAAGACGAGGCCTATATAAAGAGACAGCAGTTTCGTAAAATGGCTCATAAGTCTAGTGTGATTTCCTACACACGAACGATAAGAGGATGGTAAGTGTATCGATTACTGTGACAAATATCAATATAACCGGAATCTAAAGGGATGGTATATATGGAATTATAAAATCAGTCCACGATTTAAAATCATGTAGACGAATAACAACTGTTCTATATGATAAGGATGCAGATGTAGAAATACGTTTCTGCGACAATAAAATTAGTTCACGATAAGGAAGTTGAATAAAAAAAAATACGAAATTATGTACAATTTGATATCCAATGCTTCCACAAACACATGTTTTTATCAATTTAATTGTTTGTTTTATTTTGTTTCCACTGTTAAAACCTAGGTTTAACGTGACGCTGGAAGGGGATGATTATGACTGGTGGAGGAAGATACCCAGCATAGGTAGATATACGTAGACGATACCCAGCACACGCAGATATATGTAGACGATACCCAGTATATGTAGATATATGTAGACGATACCCAGTATATGTAGATATATGTAGACGATCCCCAGCATAGGTAGATATACGTAGACGATCCGCAGCACACGTAGATATATGTAGACGATACCAAGCATAGGTAGATATACGTAGACGGTACTCAGCATAGGTAGATATATGTAGACGGTACCCAGCATATGTAGATATACGTAGAGGATACCAAGCATAAGTAGATATATGTAGAGGATACCCATCATAGGTAGATATATGTAGACGATACCCAGCATATGTAGATATACGTAGACGATACCCAGCACACGTAGATATATGTAGACGATATAATCAGCATAGGTAAATATACGTAGACGATACCCAGCATAGGTAGATATATGTAGACGATATAATCAGCATAGGTAAATATACGTAGACGATACCCAGCATAGGTAGATATACGTAGACGGTACCCAGCATAGGTAGATATATGTAGACGGTACCCAGCATAGGTAGATATATGTAGACGTTATAATCAGCATAGGTAGATATATTTAGACGATCCCCAGCATATGTAGATATATGTAGACGATCCCCAGCATAGGTAGATATACGTAGACGGTACCCAGCACAGGTAGATATACGTAGACGGTACCCAGCATAGGTAGATATATGTAGACGACACCCAGCATAGGTAGATATATGTAGACGATACCAAGCATAGGTAGATATACGTAGACGATACCCACCATAGGAAGATATATGTAGACGTTACCCAGCATAGATAAATATGTGTAGACGATACCCAGCACAGGTAGATATATGTAGACGATACCCAGCACAGGTAGATATATGTAGACGATACCCAGCACAGGTAGATATATGTAGACGATACCCAGCATATGTATATATACGTAGACGATACCCAGCACACGTAGATATATGTAGACGATACCCAGCATAGGGAGATATATGTAGACGATATAATCAGCATAGGTAGATAAATGTAGACGATATAATCAGCATAGGTAGATATATGTAGACGATATAATCAGCATAGGTAGATATATTTAGACGATACCCAGCATATGTAGATATATGTAGACGATACCCAGCATAGGTAGATATATGTAGATGATACCCAGCATAGGTAGATATACGTAGACGATACCCAGCATAGGTAGATATACGTAGACGATACCCAGCATAGGTAGATATACGTAGACGATACCCAGCATAGGTAGATTTACGTAGACGATACCCAGCATAGGTAGATATATGTAAACGATATAATCAGCATAGGTAGATATATGTAGACGATACCCAGCATAGGTAGATATATGTAGACGATACCCAGCACAGGTAGATATATGTAGACGATACCCAGAATAGGTAGATATATGTAGACGATACCCAGCAAAGGTAGATATATGTAGACGAAAACCAGCATAGTTAGATATACGTAGACGATACCCAGCATAGGTAAATATACGTAGACGATACCCAGCATAGGTAAATATACGTAGATGATACCCAGCCTAGGTAGATATATGTAGACGATACCCAGCAAAGGTAGATATATGTAGACGAAAACCAGCATAGTTAGACATACGTAGACGATACCCAGCATAGGTAAATATATGTAGACGATACCCAGCATAGGTAGATTTATGTAGACGATACCAAGCATAGGTAGATATACGTAGACGATACCCAGCACAGGTAGATATATGTAGACGATATAATCAGCATTGGTAGATATACGTAGACGATACCCAGCATAGGTAAATACACGTAGACGATACCCAGCATAGGTAAATATACGTAGACGATACCCAGCATAGGTAGATTTATGTAGACGATACCAAGCATAGGTAGATATACGTAGACGATACCCAGCATAGATACATATGTTTAGACGATACCTAGCACAGGTAGATATATGTAGACGGTACCCAGCATAGGTAGATATATGTAGACGATA